TGTAACCGTTACTAAATTATGCCCATCCGATTTTTTCTAAAGGAAAGATCTCTAAAAAAAGTTGTAAACACGTTATCATAAAAACTCACACTCCCTGTTCTCCAATCTGTCCAATGACGGATTTGCACCCGACAGCACCGTTTGCAAATGAAAGCAAGGCTGCTACCAGCGAACCTACGGCAACCCATGTAGCAGCCTTTCTTCCTGAAATAAACTGTGTCATCATTCTTTATATGACTGCAGAAATGTTCAACATTCATGGTTTCGTTATTACTTAAGCAGTCAGATGGCCTGGCTTCGGCCGTGTTATGTATATGACTGCAGAAATCTTTCATATTCATAGCTTCATCATTAATGAAGCGGGCAGATGGCTCAGCTTGGGCCGTGTTATGTAGCCTCCTTTTGGGAGAAAGTGGGAATGCTTGCCTGACACTCCATTCCAGAACACATAATGAAACACTGGCTTTGAAATTTCAGAAGCCTTCCTTACCTTGTAGATGGAACTTCCTCATAGCTACACTTCCTATGATCACTCCGCAGGCGAATCCAACAACACCAGTGCCAGCTGAAAAACTCGAATTTTCGGTACAAATGGGACATGATCTCATGTTCATTAACTGCGTTTCTGATTCATCTTTCTAGTAGGCATTGTTCTACTGAGGTTTTCGAGGTGATCCTGCTGCTCCCTGTTTTCCCTTAAATCCTCCTATTCACTGAACACCGTGGTTTCCACTGAAAGACCATGGCAACTAAACTCCTGCCTTTCAGAACAGTCCCACGTCAACCCTTTTCGGCCTTTTCGGCCTTTTCTCTTGTGACATAATACGAAGTATGAAACAAAACTTGACCTCACCGAGATATTTTTGAATCCTATATTGGGGAACGCCGAATTGTATTTCTAAGTATTTGCCGAGGAATACAAAAAATCTGAAAAGTATTTCTGATGAGGAATGCCAAACATTGAAGTAAACAGGTGATTCTGAAAGCTATCTGCTTGGCTTTATGAGTAATGTTACTGCTTCACTAGCGAACTCACCCTTTGAAAGCAAGAACATCAACGATCCGCCCTAGCATCGCTCCAACATAAATTGGATTTCGGAATAGTAGTCGAACGGTAGAAAAGAACTCTGAACTATGGTCATTAGTCCAGGAGTGGAGGCGGGCTAGTGGCTAGTAACGAACATCATCACAAGCATTGCCCTGTGATCGAATCCCATCGACAGCAGTCTGGGTCAGGTGATTACTGAGGCCAAGGAGGAACAGGACCCCCACCACAGGTACGATGCGACGATTGAAACAGGGGTTATCCCTATCCAGAATTACAAGACGGATTTAGTGGTCCCGTGAATGTGTTACACAGTAACCCGAACCCACACTCAAGCGCCTCCAAACACCCGTCACATACACGACGCAACAGAAAGGTACACGGGTGAAGCCCACGGGTATGGGCGGTGGGGCACTACGGGTTACTGTACCGTGTTCACGGGGAAAATCCTCTCGCTGTTTCGGTAAATGGCTTTTTATGGGCAGAGGCATAAGAGCATTCGCATGTACATTAGCATGCAGATGTATGTATGTAAGTTACTAAGTTACTCTGTCAGTTGCATCTTCATTGTCCACTGCAATCCTAAAAAGGAGCCCAACGGTTCTATGCATTCCAGCACGGATCGTTTTTAAAAACTTTACTTTTCATTAGTTCGATCAATCTAGGCACTTATAAAAATTTACTTTGGAAATTTGGAGATATTTCACCCACCATTGATCTTTTCTCCTGCCGTAACGTGCTCTTCGTGAATTTTAACGTGCTTGTCCCGGAGCCTTAGGGCTTTTTTCGGTTTAGCCGGCCTGAAATGAGAACCGACATATTTGCAAAAGCATCAATATCCGTGTCAAATCTGTCCCTAACGTCTATCTTATTCAGATATCGGATGAGGACTAGGATCCCCTTAAATGCCTCCATTTTAATTTGTCAGCACCACATGAGTATCGTTATAGGGGCACCATAAGCTTCTGAATCCATCTTTTCGTTGCCTACCCTTTCGGGATCAGCTACATAGTTTTCTACTGAGTTTTGCACTCCATTCCGNACCAGCTTCGTAATGGTCCCGTTTTGACCCGCATATACTACAACCAATTTCTCAGATTTCTCGTATTTTGGTCTTGCGATCCGTCCAGTTCCGTGTTCCTGGACTAATTTCGGAGCCTTGCAAACAATTTCGTATTTCTGACTTCTATTTCATAAGTTCAGTAATCATTTTCGTGAATTTCGTAATGTGCCTTACTGTATTTATTATTTATTTATTATTTACTTATTTATTATTTATCATTGAGTTTCGCCTCTTCAAGGGAAATCTTCACAGTGTTATTGTCTTCATCTAGATTGTCAGAAGGAAAGAGGAATAGGACCAAAGAGGGGAAGAATAGAAGAGCTCTGGAATATAGAATTTTGGTCCATTTATAATAATTCCTCCCACAGAAACACTCTATCCTCATAGGGCAGTGTGCGTTGATATTTATTATTTTTATTCATTACGCACGCTTCTTCGTAGGATTTCTCTCCACTTTTGGTCGAAACTGGTCTTCTTACGAGATATTTTGTTTTAAAAAGTTTTCAAAAGCAAAAAAAAAAATAAAAGTAACCACTGACTGGAGGTTTTCATAGTTCATAGGTTATAGTCGTTGTAATTATTTTACTTCTTATAGCCGTAGCTTTGTATTTTACAACTTAGATCAAGTGATCATCTCCCCTCACGTTATAAATCTATGCAATGTCCTCCCTATTAGATTAGTGCCCTCTTTGGACTAAAGTAATAAAACAGTCCCGGTAGCGTAAGGGATAAGAGCACGGTGCACGCATAGCCCAAGTGTGGGTTCAAGTTCTATCCGAGGCCGAAATTTTGTCCCTTATCTCACAAACCTTGAGAGACTTGCATACAATTTTAGGGCAGTCATGGCCACTACATGTTCGTTTTCTAACAGTTAAGGCAAGTTGCCTCTTCATATTAGCTAAAGAAACTAATCATTTTTCAACGCGAACAATCAAAATAATATGTAAGAAATGAGCAAAAGCTACTAAATAATCACACCCGAATATGAGGAATCCAAGCCACCAACAACCAATCCACATGGGGTCCAGAGGAGTGAGACCTTGTGGAGCTGAAAGATATCAAATATAGGAGGTTTTTGTCAAATTACCGATGGCTGTAAGCCCTTTCAATGATAGATTTCTAGCCTATTTGAGTATATGTATAGAAAGCAGCATTGATAAGGAATTTGAAATTTATGGCAAGATCAGAGATTAACTGAAAAGCTGAAAAAAGGATTTTCAGTACGACTTTAACGATCATAGAAGTGGGACCATTTGTTGTTTTCGAGTCACGTAGCTCTTCTCTTCTACTACACCATTATGTCTGAAGACAAGAAATTCTTACGATCAAAGTTGTAGTATATTTCGTTGAGTTTGCTGCCGACAAGTAGTCCGACAATAGGTCCCAGAATCTTCACAAAGAACATGCATGCTGGAATCGGTACAAGTACACTACTTGGCTACAATATTTCATGAAAAGTGTATAACTGAAGGACTTCCTTGTCTACTCACCAAAATAAAGAGGGAGGTTGTTTTTCTTAACGTTATCGTCCATTAATGGGAGGCCGAGAGAGAATGGCATTGTCCTGAATCAGTCTACAGTGGTTTTTGAGAGATGCAGATCATATGCTAGAACTATAAATCCTGACGTGATAATAGCGATCTCACCTTCCCACACCCAGCAACATCAATCCTCCGAAAATCATGATAAAAGGACCAAGGCTCGACTGTTCCTTTTTGCATTCGTCACTTTTATGCTGCAAAGTTGATTACGAGTAAAACGTTGGAAAGCAGTTTATTACAAAACATTGCAATGTAAAGTATTGTGTCAAATCTACTGTACTCCATAAAATCGTAATCGGTAACGAAAGTTGTCTCGTGAACGACATAAGCGAATATAATATAGAATATAGAGATAGTAGTGCGCTGTGCTCCAACATGTACGGCATGACCTAGTTTCATCGACGATAGAATGGATCGTTCCCCTCTCTACCGCAAAAATGCGCTTTCCTCTTTGATCATGAGAACACTATGCATTGAATTGCTGGTTCGAGGCGACAATCCATAAGAAAAACTGTTGGTTCAAGAAAGTTTTGGCTTCGAAACTTACATCTTGCCGTAATTTATTGATTATGTTGTGGCAGAAGGAATATGGTAGCGATGTGAGGACCCGTACCGCCGAGACATCTTTGTCGTTGATCTGGTGTTCCTTCGAAATCCGTGCCTACAACACTTTGGGACTAGAATTTAAGTTTTTTTCCCTGAAAACTCCACCCAGAAGCAGTGAAGAATCTTAGAAATTCCGTGTAGCCCTTCCGTGACGTGTAGCTAGGACCTACGAAGCGTGAGATGTGCACTTAA